ATGCTGGAAGTGTAGCCCACTTAAAACTGTTGTCTCTGCTTTGTTGCTGCCCAGAATTGAGGCCCCTATTTGTTACATGGTTCAAGAATATTAGCATCAAGGCTGTTAAGAGAGTAACAACTCCACCCATAAATACTACTCCTTTGGCCATGATATCTTGGGTTGGAGAAGTTAACCATGAAGTCTGGTTACATGCATCTGGCCCCAATATAAACATGACCTTGAGGAATTATGACTTTTATATCTGGAAAGAACCTCAGAGATTATTTTACCTAACTCCCTCATTTGTAGATGGAGAAGCTGACTCAAGACAGATTGTGTCTTACCCAAATTCACATGGCAAATTAGTTGTAAAGAAGACCTTAAATCACCTGGTCCAGTGATTTAAGAACCATGCCATGTTACCATTCCTTTGAGTTTATTCATTCACTCAGAAAGTAAATATTTTCTCAGTGCCTACTCTGTTTTAGGTACTGCTTTATTACTAAAATGCAACAGTAAACAAATTCCCTCATAGAATATATATCCTACCAGGGGGAGAGAAAGTATAAACATGATATATAATTCTAATGGAATTTTAAAGTACCATGGGAAAAATATAATAGGGTAAAGAGGATAGTAGCTAGAGAGTGCTTGTAATTTTACGTAGGGTGGTTTGGTTGGGCTAGTCACATGGAGGAAGTGACATCTGAGGAAAGGCTTGAAAGAGGTGAAGAATGGAGCCATATGGGTAAGGAGGGAATAGCATTCCAGGCAAAGGGAATAGTGAGTGCAAAGACCTTAGGATGAGGGTTCACCTTGTATGTTTGAGGCTAGAACAGAAAATAGGGGCTAGAGTAATAGGACATAAGGTCCAGGCTGCAGTTTGAATATTCATCACTGCCAAAACTCAGGTTGAAATTTAATCCCCAATGTGTCAGTATTGAGAATTAGGGCCTTTAAGAGGTGATCTGTGGATTGATGGCTTAATGGATTAACGTTATCATGGGAGTGGCACCAGTGGCAGAGATCTGAGATAGCATGGTAAGCTCCTCACCATTTGCTGCCTTGGGACTCTGCACGAAGTCTCCACTGGCAAGAAAGCTCTCATCAACAGGGCCCCCTCAAACCTTGGACTTCCCAGACTCTGGAACTGTAAAAAGTAAGTTTCATTCCTTATAAATTACCTAATTTCTGATATTTTGTTATAAGTAATAGAAAACAGAGTAAGATAGGGAAAAAGAGCTACAGGTGAGAGTGAGGGAGCCAGATTCTCTACAGACATGGGCCTTTGGTCTGAGATGGGGATGCAGGGGATGGGGGGGCAATAGGAGTAAATGAGTGACATGACCTCATTTACATTGTAGTGGGATCGCTCTGGCTTCTCTGTTGAGCAGATTAGACTAGAGGTAGTAAGGGTGGAAGCAGGGAGGTCACTTAGGCTAGAAGGTATTACTGAGATTTCCTATCATTCAGGGTAACTCTTCAGAGTGTACACAATTAAAATTTTAATAGCTGTTTGGGTTTGTGATTAGTGACAAGTATTTGAGATGCCTGAATAAATGAAGCACTGACACATGGTTTGGTTTGAAAATTAAAATTAATCTTTGAATAGTGAATTCTCAATTCTGAGTTTTGAAAGTAGTGTTGAGATTGCCAAAAAACCACAGACATAGTAAATATAAACACTAAAGCAATTTTTAAAGACTGGTAATATTAGGAACAGCAAATGTGAGTTTGTATGTGGATCATTACAAAAGTTTTGAGATACAAGAAACGTAAAATCTATGCTGACAGAAACAAATGACGTCCTCCTAGTAACACCAATAAGACTGAGAAAGTTCTAACTTCCACAGGTGAATCAGAAAGGATGCTGTCAACTGTGTTTTCTGGAAGTAAAATAATACTTTACAGCCTGTCTCATAATAACACAGCCTGTCTCAAAACTTTTGTAGTGATCTTTTATCTGCAGTACAAGCCAAGATGAATACAAACAAGTAAGATGAACTTCTTTCTTTAAAAATAAAGATGACTAGAGAACAGCTGTACTTTAGCAGCAGACCCCAGCCTTTTTAGCACCAGGAACTGGTTTCATGGAAGACAATTTTTCCATGGAACAGGGCTGGGGGATAGTTTCGGGATGACTTAAGCATAATACATTTATTGTACACTTCATTTCCATTATTATTCTGAAATAATATAATTCACCATAATGCAGAATAGTGGGAGCCCTGAGCTTGTTTTCCTACAACTAGATGGTCCCAACAATAGCATCGTCACCTCAGCTCCACTGGCATTAAATTTGCATAAGGAGTGCACAACCTAGATCCCTTGGAAGTGCATTTTACAGTAGGGTTCAGGCTCCTATGAGAATCTAATGCTGCCTACTCTTCTGACAGGAGGTGGGGCTCAGGCAAGCAGTAGGGAACAGCTGTAACAGCAGAGCTGACTCGCCTCCTGCTGTGCAGCAGGCTACAATCCAGTACCAGTCCTCACCTGGGGGTTGGGGACCATAGTATACATATTTTAAAAATTACTAATAAATAGCATAGAGATTGTATTTTAGAGTGTACAACATATTTTCATACACATTATTTATTATCTGAATGCTTTATAACTCTATATACTTTGGCTAAGGCTGGACTTCTTACTTTCCAGATCCCATGATGGTTGTTCTCATTTGCCTATCTATAGAGCTTGAAATACACTTGTTCCATGACATCTTTAATTACTAATTAAAAATGAAACACTAAGAGAAATCCAATTTGTCTCATGAGAATTTTTTACACTTTTAGTTAAGGGCCAAGCTGTGCTCTGTGAAGTGTCTCCATCATTGCCAAAATGCAATTAGAGATAACTAAAAATTGCTTAATGATGCCTGTGTAGGGGAGACAAATTAAGGATATAGGAGATGTGTTTTCTTGATTACATTAGCACTTGGCTTCGGTTAGGGAGCCATCTTCATTATTAAAAACATTTTTGGGAATTTTGAATGGACTTTACTTACAGTGATATGTAACAGGTTTGTAAAGGATGGTTTACCAAAAATTGCTATGAAAACAGTAAATAAAGGGCATCCATTTACCAGATTAAAACTTACAATCAATATTAACCTTTTTCTAATCTAAACTTTATGTCAGTTTCTTTGCTGACTCTTACCTCTTTTGGTAGGTTGTTTTTAGTAGCATTCAGTCAGGAAAAATGTTTATTTTTCCTTTTTTTTTTTGATTCATTGGTCATTTAAAGATGTATTATCATCTTCTTTGCCAAACCCATTCTGTCTTTCTCATTTGTCTTTGTGGTCAACAGAACGTCTTTCTAGTTGTTCTGGCCAAAAATTATCCTTGACTCCACTTTTACAACTCCTATCAAACCTTGACATCTCTTCAGAATATACAAAGAATCTACAGTTTCTCCACTTCTATTACTGCTCTAGTCTTGGGTTAAATTATTGCCAGAACTTCCTAATTGGTCTCCATACACTCAGTCTTTATCCCTTTTAGTATATTTACAACACCATAACTATAGTGGTAATTCTTAAGCATGGAGTCACATTGTCACTCTCACGTTTGGACATGCCTATGATGCTACAGCATCTGCAAAAACTTCTCTCTAGTTCAGTATGCATGGACTGACTACACAGGATTCCAGTGGGTTCCCACTCTGGGACATTTGTGCAGTCTTTTCTTCCTCTGAGCTGAGGATAGCCCGAAAAATATGCATGTTATATTTGCAATGCTACTTCAGGTATTTTGATTCTCCTCATAGTCAAGAGCATGTCCATTTAAATGAATGCTGTAAAATCAACCTTTAATACTTAGGAATCAGTCCCAAAGTAAGTATTTGTTTTAACACATTCTTCTGCTATAAGTAAGCAATACTCTCCTATAAAAAATCAAGATGCCTTCCGGTCCACGGGATATTATTTAAACAAGAGAAAACTTCAGAACCTTCACCACTAGGAGCTTCTTATTTAAAACGTATTCCCCTCACTATATAAGTGAAAGCAGCTTTAAAACAGAAAACAAAACAAAGGAAAACACAGAAAAGTGAGAAACATCTTTTAAATTTTTGAGCATTTTCTTACATTTTTCACTTTTTCTTAGCATTTACGTTTTTGACTTAAGTTCCCTTTTATTATAAACATAAATAAAAATAAGAGTTGTTTAATATCCTTCTCATTAAAGTACTATTTTTACCCGTTTTCTTAGCTTTCGCCATGTTTTTTAAAAATAATTCTTTGTAATTGCTGTGATAACCTTGAAAAAAAACAGATACATATTTCATATATTACTTCAAGTTCACCGTCAGAAGAAGTATTAACAAATCAAAAGTTCCTAACATCTCGAGTATTGCAATTCTTACACTGCACATTAAGACTGATATTGAAATCTACTTTCTCTTTCCCAATTAACAGAAACGCGCAATCACAGATATCTTCACATCCATGCCCACCCGCGTTCATTTCACAAATTCAAAAGTGAACCCTAAAAATCTGAACCCAGGAGCCAGATCTCCGGACTGCCAGTCGATTTCTCCCCTGGGTCCAGTCGGACTTAATAAGCAGCTGGACCCGCTCTAAGCCGCAGCAGTGCTTTTGCTTCTCTGCTCACTAGACTCTATCCAGCCTCTCGCCCAATTCCTAAGGGGTGCCAGGCAATCTGGAGGTCGAAAATGCAAAAATCACCTAAACCCCAGAGCCAGGCAAGACCAGGTTGCGCGTCCGCTTATATTGCGGGGCAGATATGGTCCCCAAGAGGCAACCGCGGAAACTCGCTGACGCCGTGGCTCCCCGCCTCCAGCTACACATAATCCTGCCTCGGGGTGCGAGGCCGACATTCAGCCCAGATTCATCGAGCGAGGATGCAGCGCTGGAGGGACTTCTCAGTCTCAGGCCCTGCAAAGCCCAGGAGACAGCCTTAGGTGTCCTTGGCGAATGCCAGACCCGCTCTTTCACCATCCCAGCAAATTCTGAACGGGAGTGGGACAGGCGGCGAGTCAGTGCCTCCCTGGCTAGGCCAAATGAGTCGAACGCGGAACTAGGGAGCGGGCGGAGTCTGGCGTGGAGCGTTGTTCAGCAGGCCGGGTCTGGCTTTGGGTCCCGGGCCTTCCAGCCGGGGATTCTCTGCGCCTGCGCCCGCCCGGCTGCCGCCAGCCGCCGGCTCTCCCAGCGCGGCTGTGGTCTCGGCTGCTGCGCGCTGCCTGGGTGTCTGGGCAATCCATGGGCAGCATCAAGGGACACGATGACAGATTACGGCGAGGAGCAGCGCAATGAGCTGGAGGCTCTGGAGTCCATCTACCCCGACTCCTTCACAGGTGATTTCCGCGGCCTCAAGCCCGTAGCCTTGGGGAGGTGGAGTGGGACGGACCGGAGCCGCCGCGGCCCCGGGCCTCCTGGGCTGGGGAGAAGGGGACAGCGAGGCCGCGCGGCCAGCTTGTCCGCCAGTCTTCTCAGGTTCTTCAGTCACTTATCAGTAACTCAGTGATTTTTTTTTTCCTTTCTCCACTGCTCTCTGAAATCTACAAGTGCGGGTGATGCCGGAGACTGTCAGATTTGGAATTGAGTTGGGAGCACTTTCTTGGATTTCTGTGTGGCCTATACAGCAAGCCAAGATTTAGTGAAATATACCAACGAAAAAGCTGCTCCTTGTGAGAGTAGTTTGTCCAGAGTCTCAGAGGTGTCAGTTTCCACATTTTCATCTTTATTGAGGTCGAAACGTTTTTTCATACGGTAGTGTTTTAAAGTTTGTGGGATTCAGAGTGCTGTTCTCAGAGCTACCCAGAATCGGTTTTGAGAGTATCGTAATCCCTGAAGTTAGTCGGGCTTCGTCTTCAAGAATATTCTGGCATTCTGCAGAATGCCTACTGAATGATGTGGCCAAAGTTTCTGTCCCGCTGTAGATTCATGGGTTGTTAGGCCGGAAGGGGTATTAGACATCATCAACCTTAGGACTCCTCCTGCCACAAGCAAAGTAATGGAGGCACAGGAAAGGTAAGTGGTCTGCTCTGGGTCCGCCAGCGGGTTAGTGGCAGGGCAGGTTCTGAGAGTCAGGTCCGGAACTCTTTCCTGCCCTTTCACTTTCCAGACACGTGGGACAGGAATCCAACTCCACCAAAGATAAGGGGAAGCAGATTACTTGGTAGGTTGGGCTGACGTAAAATACGAAGTTCATTAATTTTAATTTACAGGAAGAGAAATCTATATGAAGCTGTGTTTCATATGATTCTGAAAATGGTACAAGGTAAACTACCAATGTGGCTTCCTTAGAATCTAAGAAGCAGTCAAATAAAGCCAATATGAATGAGTAGAACCTAGGTTTGTGGTGTTACATTCTCCATCCCTTCCTTTGAATGTTGTCCATCATCAATTGCCAGAATTTATAGTGTAGGGTACGTTGCTTTAACTTGTAAACTCCAACCCTTCTCCCTTTTACTGTGTAGCTTAGTTTTCTTGGCTCTACCTTTTGATCACTGCTTGCAATGGTAGCAAATTTTGTTCTGCTTTGCCAACAGGCAGATGTCTCTCAGCTACCCCAATATAGCTCCAGTCCTGTTCATGTTCTCTCTCAACCAGCAGTACATCTGTGCTGTGAGGATGTTAAGGGGATGAGTGAAGCGGGGTCTGAGAGTGTCATTAACTTGGTGAGTGTGTATGGAGTCTGGCTCCCTTCTCTATCCTTGCTTATATGTTGATATATAAGTAGAACAATAGAGGGTCAGTTGTTGTATATATTCTTAGTTATGTTTGGTCATTTCCAGCACTGTGGAAATGAATTGCTATGAACACTGTAGGCAGACTCAAGAAAGCATAGGATGTGCTGTTCTTTTCATTTCTTTGGGGATAAGGGATCCCTTATTAAATGCTGTGCATTTAAGCATTTATATAAGTGATAGCGTTTTTAACCCTAGTACCAAGTTGTACTAGGCCTTGAAAGCTCTGGTGTAGTTCAGTATGTGAAATTCTTGTCAGATCCACAAGTGCTTGAGGATTCTGAGCCACAGGAATAAAAGGTAGTTTATGAATCTGTTGATGTATTCAAGTATTCTGCAGTAGCAGTTGAGCCATCAGCCTCTAATTCCTGAAGTATTACTATGAGCTTTGCAATAAATAAATTAAAATGGGATGTCTTGATTTATAGTTCTCAGGGAACTTTGCCTTGCTAGTGATCATGTTCTTTATGAAACCTTTTAGGGAAAAGACAGAGCTCTGACTTTGAAATAAAATGTTCCCATATTTGATCTTTGGAAATCTTGAGCATTTGCAAGGTTAGTTGCTTTATAGCCTTCTTTTGTGTATATGATTTCATACTTCCTATTCTCATGCCAAGTTTAAGAAGGAGCTTGCATGTGTCAGTTTGCCAAGGAACACCAATTGGTAGTTTTCTAATTTTGGAATCACACTTAACTGTGAGTCACATTTATTGATAATTATTGGAATTTATAAATACTCAGTGCTATTAATGAGGGATGTAGATATACTTTTTTAAAATGGATGACTGCTTGACAAAGAAGCATTTAAGTACACAAGACCCCACGTGGCTGCAGAAGAGGCACAGTGTATGTAGCCTAACCTCAGAATTGTTTGACTATTTGCACAGAACTTTTGGTCCAGTGTTGCATTTGTTGTGAATTATAACAAATCATAATACAATTTCTTCTTTTTGCCTATTCTGTAGCTTGGTTGCACATTGATCCAACCCTCCTAACAACTAGTCTTCCAAAATATAAATGGACTCTCCTGACACCACATTCTCCTTCAGTAGTGCTTCACTTGACAAGGTCCTGCTAAGGTAGTAGAATTTGGTTATTTCAATTTCTGTATCAAAATCTTGCTGTGGGAAGTTGTGTTGGAACAAATTTGTCGGCATCAGATTAAGCAAAAGCCGAATTTCTGTTTGCGTTACAAAGAGGGCTACATAATCCTATATGTACTGTGTCAGTAGCAGCCATTAGCATTTAACGGGGATAGTTGTATCTTAGAGATAGAAGGCATCTTGTAAAGTAGTTTTTCTAAGATGTACTTTTTGAAAGGATAGATACTCCCTAACAACCAAAAGAACTTATTTTGATAAGAGATCTCTGTTTTTTTGTGAAAACTTAAGGTCATTTGTGTATCCCTTTAAGAGTACATTTTAGCGTTATCTCCATTATCTTTGTTTTGATAAAATCCTTAGTTTTGTCCATTTCATCATCATCTGGCCCCATATCACCTAACCTCTCTTCTGCTTTTCTGTTAGTTCTTCCACTATGCCCAACAGCATTCTTTCTCTCAAAAGTATTTTGATCACTCATAGTGATGGAAGTCTGGCATCGTAGTGAAGACTTTGTAACAGTAATGCCTCACAATGGGATTAGTCTTTCAGAACTTGAGGATCATCTATTTTTAAGTAACTTTCTCATCCCTATTTTAGTTACCACCAAACTTTGAAATATTATCCCTTTCCTTGTTTTCTTCAATTTTTGTTTTATGGTTAGATTCATCTGTGATGATGAACCCACAGTAATGCTTCGCTTGACAAGGTCCTGGTAAGGTGGTAGAATTTCTGTATCAAAATCTCCATTGGTTTTTTAAAAGGTAAAAGCTTATTTACTGTCACATGTGAAAGAGTTGTGGCAGCTGTATTCCCACATTTCCTCAGGGATCTATCTTCTTCTAACTTAGCTCTCTGTCATCACTAAAATGTGGTCTCACTCTCATGGTCAAGGTGGCAGCATTCCCTGTTCAGGCAGAAGGGTAAATAAAGAAATGACGAAAAAAAGAAGTAAAAGGCAACAGTTTCCTAAGGACATTTTCTAGAAACTGTCAAAGGACGTATCTGCTTCCATGTCATTAGCTGGAACTTAGACATTTGGTGAGGCCTGGCTGGAAGTGGTAAACGTAGTCTTTATTCTGTGTGGTCAGTATGCTCAGTTAAAAACAGTATAACTTGAACAAGGGGAAAGTGGATATTGGGGGACTATTAGCAGTATTTCCCAATATTCTTTTTCTTTGTTGTACCTGGTTCACTTTTTTTTTCCTATAGTAGCATCTTGGTATAGTGTATTCAGACAAATCATATAACCTCGCCAAGCCTCAGTTTCTATATTTAATGAGAATGTGAGTGCAAATAGCTCATAACTATTAAATAAATATGTGAAGATACTCTTTACTAGAAATTTACCTTCTTAGTTGTTGATACTACATTGATAGAGTTTCATAATTCTTCGTCTTTTTATCAACTAACAGTTTTGATTTCTACTCCTTAAGCAGCTCATGAATATGGCCACATCTTGAAGATGCCATCTCTAAAATTTTAGCCTTTGAAATTCCTCTTCCTGTCCATGACCCTTGTAGCTTTATTCAGGCGTCCTCAAGCTATGGCCTGTGGGCCACATGCAGCCCGCCTAGGACATTTATCTGGCCCGCCGGGTGTTTTTGCTGCCGCTGCCTGTCCTGCTTAGCAGCTGACTCACTGACTCGTCCTGGGGCCCACAGTCTGGCCCTCCAACGGTCTGAGGGACAGTGAACTGGCCCCCTGTTTAAAAAGTTTGAGGACCCCTGCATAGTTTTTTCCTTCATAGCCTCTTTCTGGTCTGTCTTGCCTCCCTATTCTGTCTGGCTCCCCAGGTAAAGAAGTTCAGTGATATTCTTGCTAACATCCCCATGTCCTTTGGGTTTTCTAATTTACCAAATACTTCTTGCACCCATTTTTAGGAGCTCAGTCTGTTAGGAAAACAGACATGAGATAAATTTAGGGAGAGGTAACAGCCTAAGTTGTTTTGGAGAACTGAGGTGCTAATGAGGAGTTAACAAGAGAATGCCTCTGGGGGAAGAGTATTCCAGCAAGGCCACAGCATGCACAGAAGCAGGACTCTGAGAGATCAAAATGTGTGCAGAGGACAAAGGGTTTGGAACTGCTAAAACATAAAGCGAGTAATGGGAGTCACAGAAAATGAGACCTGACAAGTAAGCCAGGGCCAGGTCACAGAGGGCCTTGTCAGGGTTTTAGATATTATCTGACAGGTCAGTAGTTCATTGCCCATTTACAGCACACATTGTAGTCATTGCCATGTCAGCCCCAGAGCCTGATAGGTGGGGTAGCTTCACAAATAAAATAGGCTTGCAGTTATGCTGTTTTCTGGTGTGTAGCCTATGGCTCCACCCCCTTCTCACAACTGATCCCAACTTTGCTGCCTTTAGATAGAGAGGTTGCTAGGTGGGTAATGATGTGATAAAATCTACTTGCTAGGAAGCTGCTATGGGTAGGTAAGGATGTGTGAGGAGAAACAGTGGGGAGAATCATTCTTCTCCTTTTCTTGAAATCTTCCCATCCCTTGATTTTCATAACACTGTTACCTGTTGAGTTTGTTGTTACCTCTCCTGACTGCTTCTTTTAATCTCTAGCATTTCTACTCCTGCTTTATTCTTCAAATTGAGAGTTCATACTGACTTTTATTTTCTTGTTACTTTCAGGATAATCTCACTTATTAGTCTAGTGGCCTTAGCTATCAGTTCTCTGTAGATGATCCAATGTTGAATTAAAGCCGAGCTCTCTTTAGCTCCATTTGCATATCTGATTGCTTTCGCCTAAAAGTACCTGTGCCCTTAAAAAACATAACATATGTGATTTTTCTTTCCTTGTATTGCTCATTTGATTCAACAGTATCACATTCTCAGCCTACAAACTCAAAATATCAGCCCCATCTTCACTTCCTCCCTATTTCCTGCTATTCCCATTGCTGCTAACCTAGTTCAAAACCTCATTATCTTTATCTGTGTTATTACAGTAGTTACCTGTTTTCATCCTCCCTCTAGCCTTGTTTCTTTTTTTCCATTTTAAGTTGTTAGATTTGTCTTCCTATGTTTAGAAAACGGTTTTGACTGTATCATTGCTAAAAAAGCTATTGTTCATAATTAAATTTCAGCTACATTTTCAACTAATTTTCTTTACCAACACACAGGCCCACCAGACCGAAGCATTTGTTATTTCTTAGAAATTCCTTTACCTTTTCCCCCATAGTGCCCTTGCTTCCATGGTGCCCTCAAATTCATTCCCCTTCTCCATCACTGCTTGCCAATGTGACATCCATGATTAACAGCCTAGTTCAGATGACTTCCTTGGAATTTCTCAGAGCTGGAAATACGTTTTTGTTCTTAAGTAAACCTCTATGCACTTTATTTATTTTTGGTCGGTTAGTGGCTATATTGCCTTAGACAAGTTATTTAAAAGCTCTGTGTCTCAGTTCCTAAGTCTGTAAAACTGGGGTGATACTATATTTGGCTGTTGCTAAGACACATTTTTACATTTTAATGAACTTACAATTGATAACATGTTATAGTTTAATTGGCACTTTATTTTTCTTTCTTACTGGTTTATAAATCATTAAGGTGTAAAGCAAGGTATATCTCATACTCGATGGCATCATAAATATGGTGACCTATAGTTAGAGTAGAAAGTTAGAGGCTTGGTGCCACAGGTAAAGGATTTTCATGTCACTGCATAGCACAGGCACAAACTGATGCTCAACAAAATGTTAGGTGTTATTGTTGGGAGATACATCAACTCTGTTTTTATATGTACTTGTTAAAGAACAGGCAAGGCGAGTCATTTTATGAAAGCTTTATTATCATGGCCTTTCAGTGGCTTTTTCAACATAGACTCAACTGCCTGAGACCTACCAAAATGTGAGTCCAGTGAGACTTTCTTCCTGAAATACTCAGCATTCAAATAATTTAATAATAATTATAGTAAGTACAGGTGTTCAGCATTGTTCCAAGTGCCTTAAACTTGAATTAAAATGAAGGCAACTGTCTTGAAAGTATTGTTGGTAATACATATTTATGGCAGTTTCAGAAAGTTGCCAAACAGTAGAAGCTGAGTAGTTTCCATGGTGACTCCATTAGTGATGCAGTGCTCTTTCATTTCAGAGTCTGCAGAGCCATTGCCAGTCTTGACAGGTGCCAGTGCTTCCCAGGCATGGCGTGAGGCTTAGGCTTAGCCGCCATCCATGGTGACTTGAAATTTCCTTGTTTACTCTTCAGATGGTTCTGAATACAAATGTTTGGTTTTGTTTTTGCTGTTGTTATTTTTCTCCTTTCATCCCATTAGTTTAGTTCTTTCACTGAGCCAAATTTATTGCAATTCTACATCCTCCCAGGCACTGACCTAAGAGCTTTCATAGAGTTGTCATGGTATTCTTATGGGCGAATAGATACTAAACAGAGATACGCTATTAGATAGACATTAGGCTGTAAAATGTCATATGAAGGTTTTTTATTTATATACATGTTGGCTTACATTTCTTAAATTGTAAGCAGTATGTTTAGATTCATTGCTAATTCATTTTATAATTCTATGAAAAATGGTAGAAGCTCAGGAGTATTTGTGAAAGAATAAAGCTTGGTTGTAGAGATGATGTGGGGAGGAGAGAGAGGGAGAGAACAAGAAGACACACTAAGGAATCAATATTTACTGTTTATTTCTCATGGAGATTCTGTGTTACACCTAAGAATATATAAATGTAAAAATCAGTAATGAAATGAATATTATTCGTGTGGGTAGTTTCTGGTGAGAAACTTCAAATTGTTTGCCATTTGAGATTTTTTAAGAATGCAATTTTTGAGGTGTAGGTGGAGATTAACTCCTTATTTCAGTTGATTTGGTAAAACTCCAAGAGGATTATGTATTGTAAATATTTCTTAAAAGATAGCTCTCACTTTAAGTAGAAAGTTCATAGACATTTTATCATGTCAATATATTGTTTAGTTTGTATTTGTGGAAATGGAAATATAGGATAGGGACCAATTTTGAGGACTGGTTAGTGATAAATGCTAATAAGGAGAAGCATCTGCCTTAGGAAGCATGTTAATAAGTTCTCTGTATATTTTCTTGCAGTGTTATCAGAAAATCCACCCAGCTTCACTATTACTGTGACATCTGAGGCTGGAGAAAATGATGAAAGTAAGTCTAATAAAAAATACTTGCAGTTTTGTTAAGCTTCTCTCTCAGGACTCGCACTCGTTTTGCAGCCATTTTGCTGGGCCTTGTAAGTGTGGAGGTGCTAAGATGCTGTTATGAATCTAGAATGAGTGTTTCTGGTCAGTACTCGCTGTGTAAACACAACTTCTGGAAATAGAGAGGAAATCAATGATGTATAGTCTGGCAAGGTAAGCTTTGTTTTTAAAAGTGAGGGGGAAACATTAGCCATATAACAGATGGAGAAAAGATGGGAGATTTTTGTTTAAGCAAGACTTGGCATGCAAATGTATTTCAGTGGCTGTGTGGTATTCCTTTGAATGAATGTTGTTTTTCCATGGCATTTTTCTCTTTGCACGTTTAGGCTGTTGACTAGACATCTACTGTTAGAAGTAGGGCTGGATATACACCTATCTGTATGTTTTTCTTTCTCTTAAAATAAAGTAGCTATACAACTAATGAATTGAAATTATATAAATTAAATTTGGCAGGTATTAGGGATGAGTGGTTTCTAAAGTTTATTTCTGGCTTGTAGCTCAGTGAGTAGGGTGCCGGCCACGTACACTGACAGTGGTAAGTTCAAGCGCAGCCTGGACCTGCTAAACAACAGTGACAACTACAACCAAAAAATAGCCAGGCATTGTGGCAGGCGCCTGTAGTCCCAGCTACTGGGGAGGCTGAGGCAAGAGAATCGCTGAAGCCTATGAGTTTGAGGTTGCTGTGAGCTATGATGCCGTGGCACTCTACTGAGGGCAACATAGTGAGACTCTATCTCTAAATAAATAAATAAATATTAAATTTATTTAAAATTAATAAAATTAAATGAAGTAATTAAATTACCTTATTACTTACTAAGGTAATTTGATAAAAATGTTATGTAAATTGGCATTAATAACCCCATGAATTTTTTTTCAGGTAAGGCTAGTGAATTGAAATACTGCCAGGAGCACTCTTTAATAACTAATTGTAATGGTGTCAACTGATAACTCTCAATCTGTCTTGTGCAATTGAAAATGAGGTTAGCATTCAAACTTCATCAAAATCTGAATTAAAAGATTATTGCCCAGAGTGCTGGCTCATACCTGTATTCCTAGCACTTTGATAGGCCATGTCAAAAGGATTGCTTGAGGCCAGGAGTTTCAGACCAGCCTGAGCAACATAGAAAGACCTTGTCTCTAGAAATTTGAAAAATTATCCGGTGTAGTACTGTGTACCTTTAGTCCCACATACTCAAGAGGTTAGGGCAGGAGCATCACCTAAGCCTAGGAGTTTGAGATTGCAGTGAGCTATGGCGACACCCCTACACTCTAGCCTGGGCAACAAAGTGAAGCCCTATCTCCCAAATAAAATGTAGGGATGTTGAATATAGTTATTTACACTAAATTAATAACCAATATGCTTTGGCAGATAAGTACTTAAAATTTTTTGAATAATGCATTAAAGTACAAAATAAATATTGCATTGATTGTTCTTCAAACTATTTAAAACTTTCCTTTGTAAAGAAACCAGTTGAGGCTTCATATGATGGCATTCTGGCTTCCAAAATAGTGTGGTGGTACTCATTGATGAAGATCCAAAATATACATTTCTTTAAGATTATACTGAAATGAAAAGTAAAGTTTAAACATTTCTCCCACAAGCTCCAGTATTCTGAATAATAGCTTTACTGGGAGTTAATTATCACTCTATACTATAGCTCTATATGTACTCAGTGCAGTCCCAACATCTCCCATTTGAGAAATACCCTGAAAATTATTTCTTTGAAATATCCTTAGAAAATACTATTTTTTTCCTATTAAAACCTATTTTAATGAACTAACTAGTAGAAAAGCAGGCAAAGGGCATGAATATACAATTTTTAAAGGGAGTATTGTAAATAATCATTAAAAATAAAACCAGTCCGTCCCACTGGTAATTAAAAAGGCAAGTTAAAATGAAAATAATGTTTCATATTCAACAAATTGTTAGTTTTAGGAGTATAGTTAATTGTTAGTACAGTAATGTGCTGATAATACAGATATTAGTTAGTAGATATTAGTTAGATATAGATATTAGTATAGTAATGATAGATATAATATCTATAACTATAGATACTAACTATATAACTATAGTTAGTATACTAACTATAACTATAGATACTAACTATAACTAACTATAGTTATATGCTAACTATAACTAACTATACTAACTATAGTATACTAGTTATATGCTAACTATAACTATACTAACAATAACTATAGTTATATACTAACTATATACTAGTATACTAACTATACTAATTATATACTAGTTATATAGTTAGTTCTATACTAACTATACTATAACTAACTATATACTAGTTAGTTACATATTAACTCTCACTGACTATGCTAACTATATACCAGTATAGCTAACTATATACTAGTTATATAGTCAGTTACATACTAACTATAACTATATACTAGGTATATAGTTAGCTATATACTAGCTATACTAACTATATACTAGTTATGTAGTTATATACTAACATAACTAGCTATACTAACTATAACTAACTATCCCAACTATATACTAGTATACTAACTATATCTAGTAACTATAGATATTAGTTAGTAGATATTAGATATAGATATTAGTTAGTATAGTAATGTGTTGATAGTATAGATAATTGTTAGTATAGTAATGTGCTGATACACATGGTCAGGAGAGCCACTGGAGTCACGAAGCAGAAGATTTAATATTCATAATCTTTAATCTAATGACTATTTATGGGGTATTTATTCTAAGGAAAGTATCATGATACTAATAAAATATATGCATGGATATTTGTAATACTATTATATCTATCTTAACCAGTAAATGGTGGAATACTTAGTGAAATATGATTATTGAATGTTTCGGGATTTGGAAGGATGCCCATGATATAGCTGAGATTTTATATGTGACTGTGTATTTTTAGCAAAATTTTGCCCATCCATCTATAGATAAAATTTTACTTAAAATGGACTCGTTGCCTGTAGCTCAGCAGCTAGGGCGTCAGCCAAAAACACTGGAGCTGACAGGGGCCTGCCAAAATAACAATGACAACTACAACCAAGAAATAGCTGGGTGTTGTGGTAGGCACCGGTAGTCCCAGCTACTTGGGAGGCTGAGGCAAGAGAAATACTTAAGCCCAAGAGTTTGAGGTTACTGTGAGCTGTGAGGCCACGTACTCTACTGATGGCCACAAAGTGAGACTCTGTCTCAAAAAAAAAAAAAAATTACTTAAAATGTAAGCATATGCAGGGAAAAATACTTTAATGCATATCTATAAAAGACTTTTATACCAAAATGGAAACAGTGATCTCTTTTGGTGATGTGATTATTTGTGATTTTATATTTTTCTTGTTTTATTTCCAAATTTTAGTAGTATCAGTAAATATTTTTTGAGGAAACTCATTTTTTTTTACATACACATGTGATTATTAGGTTTCCACTTTTTGCCTTCACAGAATTAAAAAGGCTAAAAATTTACCAATAATAGCAATGTTTAAAATAAGGACTAGAAACAAAAACCTTGTAAGAATGAATGAAGATAAATACATTCAGAAAAGAAATCAGACGATTGCTGCATCAAAGTATTAAGCAATAATAATAATAGTAATGCAAAGAAAGTAACATTCACATTGTCAAATAAGAGTATGTCTATTATAGAATGCTTTGACTCTGAGGTCAGTATAGAGTCATCAATTAACTTACTTATTTATCTTTTTTTTAGAAAACTCATTTTTTAAAAAATAGTTAAATGAATTTATTATACCTGCATGGTGAAATTGAGTTTGCTGATTCATAAACAGTGTTAAGGAATATTATCGGGATGTGATAACTTATAAAACTCCATTAACAGGAAAGGGGAAAAAACCTAGTATGTCATAGTGATAAACTTTATTTATTTTGATTTAATTTTTAATTTCCTTGTGGTTGAGTACATTTACTATTTAATCTCTTTCCAGTTTTCAAGTGTAGTTATTATTAACTGTATCACCATGATGTACAGTAGATCTACAGCATTGATTCATCCTATCTGAAAATTTGTATCCTATAACTATCTCTAGGATCCCTAGTACTAGTATCTCTAGTATTAGTATCTTCCTATTCCTAGTATTAGTTGTAAAGTCTCTTTCATTTAAGATTTTATTTATTTTAGTCTTCTCTCTTTTTTCTTAGTCTAGCTAAGTTTTGTTGATGTTTCCTATTGATCTTCTGACCTCTGTTTCTTTTATTTCTGCTGTGATCTTTATTTTTTCCTTTCTTCTGATTTTATGCCTAGTTTCTTCTTTTTCTAGTTTCTTGAGGATAGTGTTGTATTATTTGATATCTGTCTTCTTTTTTCAATACAGGGATTCATTGCTGTTAACTTCCCTGTTAGAATTGCTTTTGCTGCAACCCCCAAATTTTGAGATTGTTCTATTTCCATTTTTATTTTTCTCAAGGTATTTTTTGAATTCCTTTTTAATTTCATCTTTGATACATTGGTCGTTTAACCATGGCCTAGGAAGTAGGGGGAATGGGATGTTGGTCAAAGGGTACAAAGGTTCAGTTATGTGGGATGAATAAGTTTGGGTATCTGTTGTACAGTATGGTGACCATAGGTATCAATACTGTATTATATACTGAAATTTGCTAAGAGAGATAATCATAAGTGTTCTCACCACACATGCACATGCAAATGGTAACTCTGTGAGGTGATGGTTATGTTAATGTGTGGTAATCATTTCATCGTGTGTGTGTATCAAAACATCACATTGTACATCTTAAATATGTGAAATTTTTTAATTTTTTTTTTTTTTTTTTTTTGCAGTTTTTGGCCAGGGCTGGGTTTTGAACCCGCCACCTCTGGTACATGGGGCTGGCACCCTAATCCTTCAGCCATAGGCACTGCCCAAATATATGAAATTTTTGTTTGTCAAGTATACCTTAAGAGAGCTGGGAAAAAAAATTGAAAAAATTTCTTGTTCTAGCAATACAATCAGAAATGTGCTAATAAAGGATTTAAAAAATGCCAGAAGACACTGTATTTCTTAATTAATTTCTATTATTCAGTCTTTTGCATTTATGGACTCAAAATTCTTTGTTGATGTTATAACATGAAAATTGAAATATGAAACTTGCAAATTTTAAGGGACTTTTTTCCCCCTTCCTGTGAAGACCTATATAGATTTGAGTTCTTTATTAAAAGTAACTCTACAGATGTTAATAATGTAAATGTAAGTTACAAGAAAGATGAACTCTAGGCAAAGGATCACTGTAATAAAACGTCTTAATGGAAAATGTGTAGCATAACTGCTTAGTTGCTATCTGCAGTAATGAGAAGTCACTGGGCAGGCCTGCACAGAGGCACCTTGCACTGATGCGCCCTTAACAGTTTCACTCCTGGCTTGGCGCCCGTAGCACAGTGGTTAGGGTGCTAGCCGCATACACCCAGGCTGGCGGGTTTGAACCTGGCCTGGGCCTGCTAAACAACAATGACAACTGCAACAAAAAAATAGCCAGGCATTGTGGTGGGCCTCTGTAGTCCCAGCTACTTGGGAGGCTGAGGCAAGAGAGTCACTTAAGCCCAAGAGTTTGAGGTTTCTGTGAGCTGTGATGCTATGGCCCTGTACTGAGGACAACATAATGAGAGACTCTGTCTCAAAAAAAAAAAAAAATTTCCCTCCTGTACACGCATCAGATTTATAAATTGCCCAGACCAAAAGAGTGGGGCTGTATAGATGAATTAGGTTAAAAGTTTCTCAGGTAACTTCTCAAACTGTCCAAGTCAAAACTGTCATCCGGCCACCAATTAACCCCACTGGCATTGTGTAGATAGAAATATAGATTCCAGGGTTATAGCCAGAGGTCTTTTGCAGCTGGGAGCTTGCTCTGGTAGAAGCTGAAAATGAACTTATGATGCTACTTTTTTGTGTGCTATAGTCAGTGCCTTTTGTTTATCTTAGAGAATGTTTTAAAAAGAGTGGCTTTTCTTTATCTTCTTTCTCAGATATGCAGTATGGTCAAATACCAATAACGGTAAGGGTATTTCATGTGTAAGAAGTTATTTTTGCTATTCTCATGATTTGTTTCACTTATCTCTTCGTGGTAAATGTTTTTCATATTAGCGATTATCTGGTCTTTGAGTAACCTTAGTTTTCTTTGTAGGCATATGTATTTTTCTTCTTTTCACTGATTTAACAAAGAGCTACCTCTGTGCTTCTAAGGTATTCACATCAAACTCTTGTTTCAGCTGTCCAGACTACCCTCAAGTTTACATACAGTGAAAAGTACCCAGATGAAGCTCCCCTTTATGAGATATTCTCCCAGGAAAATCTAGAAGATAATGATATCTCAAGCATTTTAAAATTATTAGCATTACAGGTAAGAAATAACAGGTTTGTGCCTTGCAGTAGAATTTATTGGTCTTAAGTATTTATACATTAATTTCAAGAGTTAGAAAATGCATTTAAGGGTGTAAATAGTACATTGACCAAGCAGAATTAATGATACCTAATCTCAAAGCATTTTTGTTTCCCGCTGTCCCTTTAAAGTTTGAGTAATAGAAGTTGTCCCAGTGCTCCTGCTTGAAACTCCGTCCCCCCCCATGACGTTTCTGATTATCTTCAGTGATAAAAAGTGCAAAAGGGACTTTACATAGTAAACACAGTTTTGATTTGATAATAGTTGTAATTTTTCTAAAAGTTGAAATTTGTAGCTACATTTAGAACTAGACATTCTATTATCCCCTCTGACCCGTTTGTTACAGGTTAGGTGCCTATAGTCTGGGAAGATGACTGATGATTGATTTCCACCTCCCACCCCCATCTCTTCTCCCTAAGCTTACCAGTAACAGTAATGGTTTATGACCTACCCCTCCACGAGGGGAGGGTTATGTGGAGAAAAAAGTGTATATTGGAAAGTTCTTACAGAATTAGTTCTATTGTGCGATGAGCTACCCACAGTTTGGCCTTGGCAGGTATTTAAAGTTTACTCATGCATGGGGAGAGTTTTCTTGGGTTCTTCGAGTAGAGAGTAGGGAGAGCAAGTAAAATTCTTCCTCCACCATCTTAAAATCAGAAGTCCTAGCTTTGTTCATTGTAAGAAAAATTGACAGAAAGCGTCTTTCTGCCTTATATGTGGCTTATATAGTCTAAGAATCAGTGGTCCCCTGAATGCTGATGTTATCAAAATACCTGAAGCTGTTAGAAAATGAAAAGTGCAAGGATCTATATTACACAGGAGTTTTTGCTGATCTGGGGCCTTTTTCAGTCTGTTACCCAGCATGAAATTGTGCTGATTCTAACATTTAGCTTACCATGTTTCATTTTATAATGTTGCAGAGAACCTGAGATGATGGTTATGCTGTATTCAGCCACACATTAATTTATTAACTTCAGCAAATTTTTCCATGAGTTTGTATTAATTTTTTTTATCTCCCCTTCCAAAAAGGCACTTTGATTTCTTTTACCCTGACTGAGATCAGAGTTGTTGAGAGAATATTTGTGGTTGTTCTCCAAAAATAGTTGTATTAATTTTCAGGTATCAAAATAATAAATTCATATTATAAAAAGTCAGAAAATATAAAAAATCATGAAGAAGAAAATAAAGGTTACTCTTTATCCCACCAACCAGCCACAATTGTCTACTAACAATTTGGTGTGACATAGTGCTGGACTTTTTTTTTACACCTACACACATAGTCTCCATGTCCGACCACAGGGTAGATCATTTTATACATAATGTTCATAACATTCTCTTTTTCACTTAACAACATACTTGGGCATTTTTCCATTTCAGTTAAATGTATATACGTGAATCATTTTTGATAACTACATGGAAATTCATTGTATGCATCTGTAATTGCACATCTTTTTAAAAACAACTTACAGTTGTTTGTCATTTTTGACTGATTTAATGTATAATTCTTCCAGTGTTCTTATATATCACTATTTGTAAGTCCTTAGGGCAGGTTCTCCATTGTAACCTTAGTACCTAGCATATTATAGACACTCGGGTATTTGTTGAAAAAATGAAAAGAATGAATTACTGATGACTATACTAGCCCAGTGTTTTCTAGAAGTAGGATTGCTATTTTATTTTTTTTATTTTTTTTTTCTTTTCTTTTTTTTATTGAACGGTAACTATGTACATTAATGCACTTCTGGGGTACAGTGTGGGGTTTTCACATGCAATCTGAAATACTTCCATCAACTGGTCAACACAGCCTTCA